AATTCTTGTTGTACCCTCTAAATGTAAATATAGTTAAGACTAGTTAGACTTTGGCGGGTCAATTCACTCTTGTGATGATTGGTGACAAAACTGAGGACAAGAAGTCTTCCTACTGTTTTACTACAGAATTGTCTATTTTTAGATTTCATCTGGAATATACCTTTTTTATTTTGTATGTCTTCATTCAATGTTTCCATTTCCTTATTTTACTGATTGCCACAGCAGGTAGAACTTCCCATTAAATCACCGGTATCAGCTTTTGAATTCTTGGGCCATAAGAACATTGACTTCGTATGCATTTGTGTTTTTGTGAATCCACTGTCCTTTGAGGTCTGTTGTGAGTGCATAAGTTTGTGGGTATAGATATGGCTGTTGCGTTTACGCGTCGCTCTTGGTGGTTGTGGAGTGGAAAGCATCAAGAGCCTAAAATATCTAACGGGTCTTCTTCAAATTCTGCATCTGATTTGGGTTTGTGGGAATCAGATTCTGTGAAATTCCCTTTGGTTAATGGAGGCAATATGGGTTCCTCGTCTAGAAGGGTTAAGCGAAAATGGCAAAGTCGGGAAGAAAGAAAAATTGACCATGAATATGATGTGGTTGTGGTGCCATCAGATGGTGGTTGTGTTTCTGGGTCCGAGTCTGATGATTCGGATTGGTCAGTTGGATGGTTGGAGCCTTATGGCCCTGGGTTCGATAGTGACAATGATTCAGATGATAGTTTTGCTGTGTTGGTTCCTTGCTATGGTCGTGGGCGTGAGGAAAATTTTAAGGACAAGTTTCTAGACACTATTGGAAATGTCCCAGAAATGTATGCTGCTGGTAAGGGTCACTTTCTTCGAGCTTTTTTCATATTGTGTTTATTTGTTTGTACAAGTTTCATTGTCCTTTTTCTTTTCCCCCGCCCTTTTTTTTTCTGCTGTCAACATGATAATCCACTTTCGGATTTATTCCTTGTTTGAGTGTGATATGTTGATACCGTGGTCCAAATAGCTAAAAATACATATTGTATACTATGAATGATAGCTTTGTGGCAAATAAGCATATTAGGAAGGTCGAATTCTGTTCTAGATGAAGCTTTGGTACATAATCAAATGCAGCATGCATAATCTTTAGGCTTGAAATCTGTGTCGGACAGAATTTTGAATGCAAATTTGAATCATCACATGCTAACGAAGCAGAAACTATGTTTAAATGAGGTGTACTACAACCGCTCTGAGGATTGGTGAATTGAGTTAATGAAACTTTGATTTTCTATTTGCCGTGTTGATGATTTCAAACATGTATTTAGAAAAAAATGCTTTATATGTAACTGAGAAAACTGGATATAGGAGATGTGTTCATATGTCGAAGTCCTATATTTGCTTTCTAAAGTGTCAAAGACCTAAGTTGCTTTCTAAAAATGTCAAAGACTTTTGTTACACCGACATGGAATTTCTTAAGAGAGAGTGTGGACCTATGTTACCAGAAAACACTAATATTTTAGCGAATTACGTATTGGTATGCACGTTCTGAAATATGGTACACTTTCGTTTTAAAACAGTAAATTTGGTGATTTGAAACGATCTCAAAGGTTTTTTTCATTATATTTCCTTAAATGTTATCTTAGGAGAAAAAAAAAATTCAAATATATGAACTAAAATTTAAGGTGAGTTAACTTTTGACAAGACAAAAATATAAAAAATGGGTCATAATTTTTAGAAAAATGATACATTCAAAAAAAAAAATTATTTGATACCTAATAGTTAAAAGAAAATTACTCTACGAGTACCTTAAATTCTTAAGTGTAATATATATAAGTCTATTCCTATCGTACCACATTTAGAGTATGTGGTGTACCACGTTCCTATTCCCGTGCTATGTACCGAAACGATCCACGTTCTAGGTAACATAAGTGTGGACACCTGGGGAGGATATTTGGTTGGTCTCTGGAGAGGATATTTTGGTTTTCTGCGTGTTGAATCTGTTGATTGGTTCCAAGTTTAGTACTGGGCTTTGTGGACCCTCCAAACTGTCGAATCCTTATCCCCTGCAAGTTTCTATGCTTTTGTGCTTGTCTCGAGGACTTTTGATTGGTTTGAATTCTTAAACAAACTGACTAAATGCTCAAAGCTGTGCCTGGAAAAACAGTTTGATTAGTTTGCATGTTAAATTGTAAAATTGCAAGTTCTGCTTTTTTTTTTTTTTTTTCCTTCTTTCTTTCTTTTCTTTCCAAAATGTTCTGCTGCATATTACATGAAAATTGAAACTATATACTTTTAGGTAGTTGTGACATTTTACTGGTTTTTCAAAGAAATAGTTTCTGATTTTTTTGGATTATCACAAGTACTTGCATATTTTCATCACTTGGCCATTGCTACTTTGACCATTGCATCTAGCTGCCTTTAACTGTTAATTAGAACCTTCCTCGTCGAACCTACATTTCATTGATTTTATCGTTGACCGTCAAATCTGATTCTGATAAAATATAAAAAAAATTGTGGATTTCATTAGATTAAATTGAACAGATGGGACTGATCTAGGACCCAATGTTAGAATGTATGCATTGAATATTTTCTGGTCGTAAATGCATGTGTTATAGAACAAGCAAATCATGCTCGCGTTTTCTTTCTCATTGTTTCTATAATTCATAATCCATTGTTTCTCTGTTTTTCTTTACCCGTGCAGAGAACAAGTACACGGAACAATGGCTCTCCTCTCTCAGGAGCAGCTGACATTCCATGAATGGCTCTCCTATCTTCGTCATGCCATTCCGGCTTCTTCTTCGCCTTCTGTATGGACTTCCTACTATTATAACCAACCCGGGAAAAAAATTCAAAAAAGAAAGAAGAGAAGAAACCAAAACTATAGCTCAAGGAAAAGAGGCAAAAAAAAATAAACTAAAAAAACCCGGCTTTATTGGAATCTTGCTAGTAGCATAGGATTGGCTTATGTTGGGGTTTGAACTGATACTAGTTTATGAGGCAGAGAGGTTAGTAGCGGATCGTATGATTCTCTATTTCTTTGGTACAGAGTTGACCCGGAAAGAACCAAAGAGTGGCTTGTCGTCTGCTTGCTGAGCAAGGATGGACGGTCTTGATGTGAATTTTGTGGAATAAAAATGGAACCAAAAACAAAATAAAATGAAAGAAGAAGGAAAGTGTGTTGTGTTCTGTGAATGGATATTCTTTGATGTAAATATGACTAACTGTGAATGGATTTGACTCCCTGAGCAAAAAGGATACCAAAAAAAATTAAAATTAAAAGATTGTATTGATGTAAATATTTGGAATATAGTATGTATTGCTGTAAATAGTTGGAATTTTTTTTTGTTTGTTTTGATATACAGTTGGAATAAAAATATGTTTTGATTATCTAGTAAAGTTAAAATCACAAACTTCTCTCTCTCTCATACACAAAATAAAAACTATGCATAGAGGTTATAAAGTAATGTTTTGAAAATTGGACCGGTGAACGTATCAAAAAAGTAGCTAGGTGAATGGGTCACTGGTTCAACCGCGGGTGAACTGGAATTAAATCGTGATGTCATAATTATGTCATAAATATATTAAAATTTATTAGTATAAAAAAATATAGGTATTAAAATTACAAAAATTAATAAATAATAAATATTTACAAAAAAAAAATATTTCTTAAAATTTATTTTACATTTTTTATACATTGATTTTTAGTAAAAATAATTAAGATAATATTGAATATATCATATATATATTTATTACATTTTCAATAATTGTATTGATTAATGGCTTGATTTCTTGCTTTTTATGCACTTGGTTCCATGTTCAAGCTCTCTCCACAGTATATTTTTGGAAGAAATTTCAATTCTTTAAACCCAACTAGTTCTTGTGTTGACCAGTTTACCTATTCCGGTTGAATCGACAGTTCTTTCAATTTTATTCTAAAAGTCAGTTTTGAGGATAGTCCAAGTTTGGAGAGTCATTCGGACCAAAACTCGGTCTGGTCATCGATTTGACCGGTCCGATCTAAGTTTGAAAACATTGTTATAAACAATATCATCATTGTCTTACCCCTTCTTCAAAGATGGAAAAAATCTATGAAGTTGACCGACCGGTCCGATATGAGTTTGAAAACATTGTTATAAACAATATCATCATTGTCTTACCCCTTCTTCAAAGATGGAAAAAATCTAAGAAGTTGACCGACCGGTCCGATATGAGTTTGAAAACATTGTTATAAACAATATCATTATTGTCTTACCCCTTCTTCAAAGATGGAAAAAATCTAGGAAGTTGTTATATGGCAGGAGTTTAGGTTGCCTTCGAATCTTAAATTTCTGAACGAATTTAAGGGGAAAAAAAAGAAGAGAAAAATTAAGTTTTTACTTCATCTCTCTTCTTTGTTTTTGTTTTATATTTTGTTCTCTCCATTCATAATCTAAAAACAGTTTTAAGAGATGTTGAAAGAGAAGGCAAAAGATAAAAAGACAAGGGGGTGTTTGCGAAGAAGGTTGGGTTAATATAATTTACAAAAAGATAAGATAGACTAAAATAACTAATAAAATAAAATATCACATTTAATCCATAATCATTTCACTTTTTCTTTCATAACCATTAAATTAATTACAAAAAAAAAGTTAACCAACTTTTTAAACATAACTATTTTAATCAGATTAAAATAATTAAGGAATTAAGCAACCAATTAAAATAGCAAAATTTCTAAATAAAGCCAAAATCGATTAGGGGTGATTCTACTTACACCACTACTTCACCTCTTTACAGACTCTATATGAACTTTTTTTTTTCTTCTTCCAATTTTATCCATGTGTGAAATTACTTTTAAAAACAAAATACTCAAATTAAATATATTTTGTTATCTCCTTGCACCCCTTAGTCTTCAATTCTTACTTTTCTTTTTGGAAAATGGCTCATACACCCACTGGGGGTCGACCCCCAGTGAGGTGGCACTCAATAATTGGACCAAAAAAAAATTGTTTTTTTTTTTTTTTTTTTTTTGGGGATTTATAATTGAGTGGGGGCGCGACACCTCACTGGGGGTGCGACCCCCACTGGGGGTATGCAGCACGGTTGCTTCTTTTTACTTTCTCAATTTTTCTTTTCTCTTACACATCTCTTTTCAAAAAGTGAGAATCATAGTATTTTGATCATCAAAGAAAGCAACGGATGAAGAAATGGTGGTGAAGAACCATCAAAAAAGTGAAATTGTAAGTTTTTTTATTTGTTTGGTAGGTTTTTGTTTCGTTTTTCTAGACTGTTCTTCGACTTTTATTCAGTGTTTTGAAATTGAACAAAATAAAATAATCTGGCATCACATTGCCGAACAAAAAATATAAGTTTGATAGCCTAATGTCGAATAAAAGATACATTTCCAGTAACATAAGGCCGAATATTTTAAATTTATTCGGCTACTCATTATCATGTATTTTCAGTTTTATTTTTTTTATATTTTATATTTCTTTACTTGGAAGGATTATACTTAAACTCATTGCAACAACGCAAGTATTACATTATTAGTGGACTCCAGTCACGAATTCATTACGATGAGATTTGTTAAGTGTTTTTATGAATACAATTTTTTCTTATTTTTAATTTGTATTAAGTTTTATTAATAATTTGACGTATAAATGTATTGATCAAGATTTTCAAAATTTTGATGAAAACGATGAGGAAGGAATTCCTCTGATTTTGAAAATTTTGATTAATTGAGAGGAGGAGAGGTTTTTCATATTTATTTGCGAAAAGAGTTTGATTTTGCCACCTCAAGTGGGCTTAAAGTTTGCGAATTTGCCACTAAATATAGTGGGCTTAAAATTGATTTGCCACTCAACAAAGTGGGCTTAAAACATACATTCGTTGAATCGTTCTAATTCAAACAATAAGCCTTCATCCAAGGGAATTCAAGCAGTTATAGCAAGTAAGCCTTTAGCCTTATGGCAAGCATACTAGACATGACAACATTCACACTCATGCAAAGATGCTAAAACACTAAAAACTCACCTAGTACTCCAAGCTAAGAAGATATGAGTTAGAAAAATATGCATGATTCCTAACTATGCAAGATGAGTAATGCAACACACACAAAGAATGCAATTAATAAGCTCGGCTATTAATATGGCATATGAATTGATTTGATAACATGCAATCTAAGCACGTATTCAAAGAAGTAATGAAATGACAATGCAGTTTGAATGATGCGCTGAGTCTCGTGCATGCAATACAAATGAATGGATGCAAGCATAAAGCATAAGGTATGCTAATTGAAACATGTCCCTAGTCTAACCATCAAAAGCGGGTAAATAAAAGGGAGAAAGACATGGGGTTGGAAAACATACACATTATTACATTACGCTCTCACGAAGGAGAGTCCGAATGAATAAAATTAACTAACTAATTAAGCTAAGCTAAGCTAAGCTAATTAGGCTAATTATTACAACATTTGAAATCAATAATTAACTAACTATTACAACACTTGAAATGAATAATTAACTAACCATCTAAGCTAATTAATTAAGAATTTAACTAGGCTAAACTAATTAAATACTACAAAACTGAATAATTAGCTACAACTAATTAAACTAATTAAATATTATAATTCAATTCATTATGCTAATGAAACAATTAAACGATCAAACGCATTCGGTATGAGCACCAAGGAAGATGGATGGAGGTTACATGCGCATCGCTTGAAAGCTACTCTGTTTGCCTAAGCCATCTCTGTTTCACCTTTAGCCACTGCCTCTGTTTATGCAAAATTGCATTGATGGCCACACACCAAGGGCCGACCGTGCATTATTGATGGCCGGTCGAGCCCACAGAGGGTCGGCCGTGCATTGGTTTGGTTTGTGGTCTGAGGTGAAATCAGTGTAGATAGAGCATTTTCAAGCTCTGTTTGTCCTTCCTTCCTTCTCTGTTATAGGAAAGCCTCAAGAGAAAGTTGGGATTGACTCCAAAACCATCAACGAGCGATATGATCACTTGATGATCTCGGATATCATTTTGGACCAAAAATCAATGAATGTAATGCAAATGGACTACCCCTCCCTTTTTGTCATGGAATGAACTCAAAAAAGGAAGTTGAGATGCTTCAAGGACATCAAAAACACCATAAATTGATGCTTAATGACCCTTGACACAAGAAACTTGGCATAACGTCAGGCCAAGTTCAAGCTATTAAGCCATTTTCTTTGAGTGTGTTAAACCAAGTTTTAAGCCAATTGTTTTAGTCATTGCCATTCATTAGTCCATTTGTCTATGGTGATATTAAAGTCCTCTAAACAAGAAGTGATGTTAAACAAGAGGTCCTTCTAAAATATGAGAAGGAGACTGCACCATTGGCGATGAATCTCCAAAGAGATTAAGCCATTAAGTGTAGGTCTCCTTTACATGCATTGAACAACCTCAATTGGTTGAAACCAGTCTCAAGAATGAAAGATATGAAATGATTGATTGATTAATAAACTTAGGCTTCAAACATGGAAAATGAGCCAATTTAATGAGACCACAAGTGTATTAAACAAGGCATGAACCAAATGAAAAGACCTAGACAACCTCAAAATATCCCATAATACATGAAAATCAAAGGTAAAACATGCATGAAAATGGGTTGAAAAGCTAGACAATAAAGATGAGAATTAAGGCTAGTAAACAAGAATAAGGAGGGGTGGCTAACCCCTCTACTTTTGAAGCTTCAAAACATGGTTTTTAACCTTTCAAAACCTCTGAAAATCAATGTAGATACCAAAGGAAATGAGTGAAAATGAGAAGGTTTGAGTTATAAGTAAAGGTATAGAAAGAGCAAGCTCTCTCTACCCTTTTGGTAACTCTTCAAACCCAACTCCAACACT